AAACCAGTTTTATTAAGTAGGGACTTGTGTCGCTAAAGTTTCATCGGAACTAAGTTACGGAAAATCAATTAACAAACGGAGACGTAACACTTTCAAGCCTTATGTCTTTAGCTTACCGCTTGAAGCTTTCAACCCTTAAGTATTTAGTTTATCGCTTGTAGCTTTTAAACTTTAAGTATTTAGTTTATGGCTTGAAGCTTTTAAACCTGAAGTACTTAGTTCAGCGCTTGAATTGTAGCAAGAAAACAAAATTGTTTTAACTCAATTTAGAGAAATATTGATATCATCTTAATTAGAGCTTGTTATGAACACAACAAGATGTTATGTGATTATTCCACCTTTCTCCTCTCTGTGTTGATCTTCCTTAAAATGTTTTAGAGATCCAAACGCTAGAATGATCGGCATGCACTGAATTAACTTTAAATAAAATACGATTAGCAAGATTCGAAATTATTTAGTGAGGAGACTGTAATTATAAACGTGACAGAAAAACCTCAAATGAACGAGATCCACTAATCATTTTTTTTTCTCATTCTCTTCTCTGGCAACATTTTTTCTTTTGTCTCCGCAAAAATTACTCAATGCTTCAAATGTTTCGTATTAGAAGATTCACAAATACAGATCACGTTTTTTGACATGTAACGAACACAAATTGTAATGAACGTTTAATACAGTTCTAGTGAACTAAGGTTCAATTTCCTGTTTTCTCTAACTAAATATGTATTTTTACATGGTTTATTTTTTCTGTTCGTTGTAGTTCAATCCAACTTTAAGTTAAATTAGCACTAAAACTTATTATTTAAACACAAGTGTGTTACGGCTACACGAAGAAATAAGGTAAGTTATATTTAATATTTTACGCAAACTTGTAGTCACTGGCGATCAAATTAGTATCACTACCATATGATATTTAACTGAATCAAGGGAAGAATCTCCATATTGTATCCAAACTGGTTCTGCCATCTATATTCACGTGAGGTACGAGAGTGAGTCACGAACCCAAACCTTCGTGTCTGCAATGATCCTCTATTTATTGTCATTCAAAGATTCAAAAATGAGTCAAGAAAACGATCGTGTAAATGATTTCTTTCATACACAAGGGTATTAGGAAGCACAAGTAAACTATGAGATCTGTAATATCCAAATTGTTACGACATACAACAATAAAACTATCAACTCATTTACTATTTCTTTTGTAATTGAGCTAACGTGAGTTTTTTTGTTGTTGTTCTTTTCTGAAGAAAAGATTGGTTACTGTGCCAGGCTGTGAATCACAGGGTTCATTGTTTCCATCAGGCTGTGAATCACAAGGTTCATGGTTTCCATCATGCTGTGAATCACAAGGTTCATTGTTTCCATCAGGCTGTGAATCACAGGGTTCATTGTTTCCATCAGGCTGTGAATCAAAAGGTTCGTGGTTTGCATCAGGCTGTGAATCACAAGGTTCATGGTTTGCATCAGGCTGTGAATCACAGGGTTCATTGTTTCCATCAGGATGTGAATCACAAGGTTCATGGTTTGCATCAGGCTGTGAATCACAAGGTTCGTGGTTTGCATCAGGCTGTGAATCAAAAGGTTTGTGGTTTGCATCAGGCTGTGAATCACAGGGTTCATTGTTTCCATCAGGCTGTGAATCACAGGGTTCGTGGTTTGCATCACGCTGTGACTCACAGGGTTCGTGGTTTGCATCCAGCTGATGTTAAATTGTCCTACAAGCTTGGGGCCATAGATGTGTTGAAAAGGTTTCGATCAAATCTTACTATTCAGTTAGAGTAACCTAAAAGTTGGCGGTGGGTGCTGTTACCTTCCCTATAGTGTGTCATCTCAAAAGTAGAGGCGGATAGCGGAGATAATTCTTAGCTCTTCACGGATATCCGAAATAAAAATAAAACGAATTTATCTTCCGTTATTTTACACACAATTGAATATCCTCAAATAGTTACGAAAAGCATTTAACCTGGATATGACGTCAACACACGGAAAAAAAAAGGATTACTCTTATTTCGTAACAAAGCCTTTTCCTGTTGGCTATTTTCTAAGTTCTTATCATTTGGAAGTTTGTTTTTTAACCATATTTGTTGTGTAAAATATAATAATTATTCTATGCTTTAAACAAGTATTAGAAATACAAGGTTATTCATAACCAATGAGTCACAACAATGTTTTATCTAAATTAGTAACGTATTCCCCTCTCACTTTAACGTCACAACTGGAAAGCTTTTTTTTTTTTTTTGCCTGCAACAATGCGTTGAAATTGAAATGCTGTTCTCTAATACAAGCACGATAAACCTGGAATGTAGATTTTCACGACCATAGTTACGAACTTTAATTTATTTTATTTTCTACGTAAGACGTGTGTGAAACGTTTAATTCGTTTCTCTTATTTTGTAGTACATGATTATTTGATTCTGGAATTAAAAAATGTTTAGGGTGTTTAGATAACTTAACACTAGTTATGTTACGCATATATGTTTGATATAATTCGTTAGAAAAAACTGTGAATTTGTTTACGCCCGAAACTATCTTGTTTGGATGTAATATGAACATTCCTTGTACTGAACTTCAAAAAGGTTTTCTCATTAAAAGTCATTCCTAAAATTATTTTTTGTAAGCGCGCCTAACAGTTATTTTCTTTGCAAACATTTTTTCAAATTCACGTGTGAAACGAGTTCGTGAAAAGAACCAAAAAAAAACCAACCATATATATCATATTTATTTATAAAATGGATATTTATTGCTGGAAAAATTAAATATACTCAATTCAATATTCAGTAAACGAATTATTGATTTAACAATTTTAAACTCCAAACAGCTTATCAAAAAATAAATCATGTCACCCAAGGTCTTATGTCATAGACTTCCTAATTATTTCAGTGATTTTAAGCTGAATAATACTTCTGTTGCGTCATCGAGGTCACGTGACTGGTGTGGCGCCCTCTAGTTTCTAGAACTATCTTGTTCCTTCGGGAATGCTCTAGTATTTGCTAGATAGGGTAGGCTGGTATATATAAGAGGGGGACAACGTGACGCGGTAATGTGTGTGTAGACAGTGAGTAATTGAACTGCAGTCACAGGGTATTGTTGAAGTTAACGTTCGTTCGTTCGTGATACTGTTTGTTTTAGCGCGAATATTGAGATTAAGTGTATCGCAGAGTTATATTCGGAAAAAATAAACCAGTTTTATTAAGTAAATACTTGTGTCGCTAAAGTTTCGTCGGAACGAAGTTACGGGAAGTTGATTAACAAACGGAGACGTAACAATATTATTACTGCATTACTTGTATCTTGTATGAGCAACTGCGAAATACTGTAATAACTATAGACTTTCAGTATATTGTAAAAGTATTTCTGCTAAATAATCGATTAGAGCGTTGCATATTTAAATAAAATATTACCACTATTTCTTCAAAGGATTCTATGCAGTTTCGTTGCTATTAAATGAATGATAATAATAATAATAATAAAAAAGGAAAAAACGTCAGATTTTCGTAAAATTATTCCATCAATCGCCATATTTATTTAACAAATTACTTCTCACTGACAGTTTAAAACGTGCGAAAAATTCAATCCTGATTTATATTTATTTCATTTAAAGTACGTGAAAGCAAAACCCTCATATTGTTTACTATACATCAGAAAACCTGCTCTGGCATGTTTCTTACTTTATGCCAGACAACAATCTTCCTTTAAATAGTTTATTAATTCATTATTATTCTTTAATCACTTGTGTATTACTATGCTGATGTGTTATTATTGTTTGTTTTTTTTATGAATTAAGTATTTCTTTTTTAAACTCTACTTTATACCTCAGCGGATTACTAAAATACAATAAATTTTTGCTATATTTTTTATTTGTCATATCATACAAATTTTCACTAACTGGGTCGTTTAGAACAATGAAATAATTGTATTACCTGTTATGGCTGACATGTAGGCTATGCATTATACACTCGTCATAATTATAACAACATATACGATTAAGCTGGTCCTAAGTACTGTGTAATATTTCATGGAATTGGAATTTTCAATTTGAAGGCCACTTTCTGCGCACGAGAGCTAAACGGCTAGGTCAGAGACCCCTAGGATTTAGGGACTGGCCAGACGGAAGGGCGGCTACCAGACAGCAGCACGAGTTGTCACAAGAGCTTTGCCGGCTTTTCAAATTGGAGAACAGGTCTGACTGTCACTGTTATAACGTCCCCACAGCTAAAAGTTTGGAGCGCGTTCAGCGGCACGAACTTCAAACATCTCGATCCGCAGCCTGATGCGCCAACCACTACGCCCGGCCCAAGTAATTTGTAATATACTCAGGCTCATGCAATTGTCCATACAATAAGACGATTATCATGCTAATTCATAGAAATATCGTTTTTCGTATTTCAGTTAAACGTTCAAGAAAGAATAATACTAAAAACTAAGAAAAAATTAAATTTGTTACAGTACGAGAAGGCAGACCTACATGTATTTACAGAATTTCACCTATACAATAACACTATTGTACTCGAAAGCTTTACAATAACCCTTTCTCCTCTTTTAGATTTGTGTATATACAGGCGTATTTTATAACACACCTTTTGCAAAAGTCCGACGCACTCTAACAGTGAAATTAAAATAATGGAACACGGGGTCTCTTAAAACATAACTTAAACTCGTACATTATACAGAATCTTTGGGAAAAAATGCCACCGTTCATTCTAAATACAAATTAACTGCTTCCACTAAACAAGTCGAAATATCAAGGGAAAAAATGAATCACTCTATTACAGTATACCCTGAAAACGAGTTCAGTGTTAATGTGCTTCATCACTTACATTCTTTTCCAATAGAAGAGATAGCAATAGCAAAGCACAAGAGTTAGGGGACTAAACTGCAGTAGATATTATTTCGGTATTACTGTATATTTTCATCATATTTTATTATTATGACTTCTTCGAGTTCACTTCGTTTTTCCATTGACATTTCATCCCATGATCGATCAACTCAAGGAAACAATTTGATTTTGTATAAGAGTTAATGTTTTTCAAACATCTGTACTATCGGCAGTTCGTACTACGACTCTTCTAATGGGAGTCTTGATCTTTTTTCCAAACAGCCCTCCAAGAAAGCCTTGCTGATTTACAAATCTCTCACTAGGGGTTCCCATGGTTCCCTGTTGTAGAGGGACGTGTGTCCGGTTACTGGCCACGGCTTGTGATTGCGAATCCTGACTCCCCGTACTTGCTGAAGACGACTGGAAAGACACTGACTGCGAGGAATAAATATTCAACGATATTCTACAATTAAATTCTATAACATCTTACTTTTAGGTATAATTTACAGGTCAAATACAGTCATGATTGATGTATAAAAACTAACGAACAACAAACATTAAACTATATTTACAGTAATACATTATAAACTTTTGATATGCATTTCTTTATTTTAAAAAGAAATTGGAATTTTCGGTCTGAACGACACTTTATCCGCACATTGGGCTAAAGGTACAGGTCACATACCACTAGAGTTCGGATTAAACTGTCCATAATTTTTAACTGCTGACATTGGCGCGGTATGGCCAGATGGTTAAGGCGCTCGCCTTGCAATCTGAGAGTCGCGGGTTCGAATCCCTGTCCCACCAAACATGCTCGCCCCTTTCAGCCGTGGGGGCGCTATAATGTGACGGTCAATCCCACTATTCGTTGGTAAAAGAATAGCCCAAGAGTTGGCAGTGGGTGGTGATGACTAGCTGCTTTCCCTCTAGTCTTACACTGCTAAATCAGGGACGGCTAGCGCAGATAGCCTTCGTGTAGCTTTGCGCGAAATTCAAAAACAAAACAAACAAACTACTGACAAGAAAGAGGACATTTAGCCAGCAGCACCCGCTCCCACAGGGGCTCTGTCAGACTCTTTGAACCAATTAATGAGGTTGGGTGTTACTTTTATAACACATTCATAGCGGTAAAAACAATGCAATTTTTAGTTCACTTAATGAAAGAAACGTATTTTATCTCTTGAACTGAATGTTTTCCAACTTACACAGTTTCACGAACTAACGATAAGTCGATAACCAAAAGATAGTCTTAGGTCACAAATAAAACTTAACAGTCACTTGTTAAATTTCGTCTCGTATTTGTGGCAAAAATTCAAAATGTATTACACTCGCTAAGTCGGTAATCAACTCCTTAAGTAACTACGTGACTGAATGTTTTATTCACTCACTAACTGACTAATTCATTTTGGTGTTTTACACAATGTCTTTTTATCCCAGATCTGACGGACATTCGATACATGTCAAATCTAGACACTCGCCACTAGCTATGTAATGCAAAAATCACTCAAGCAACTGATAGAAAACTTATAAATTAAAATATTAAAACATAATTCAAAATAATAATATATAAAAGCTTTTCATTCTTTATGTTTGTTTGTTTTGAATTTCGCACAAAGCTATACGAGGGCTATCTATCTATGTTAGCTGTCCCTAATTTAGCAGTGATGAACTAGATGGAAGGCAGCTAGTCAACATCACCCGCCGCCAACACTTTGACTACTCTTTTAGCAACGAATAATGGGATTGGCCGTCATGTTATAATGCCCTCACAGCTGAAAGGGCGAGCATATTCGGTGACGGGCATTCGAACCCGTGACCCTCAGATTGCTATTCGATCGTCCTAACAGCCAGGCCATGCCAGGCCCACTTTTCATTTAACTGTAATCTCATAAACAAACAACTGTTGCAATAGATAATGATGTTCTTTCTACATAATAAAAGGAATACACTTACCATTCCACTGTCCAGAGAACCTGCACTACCTCTTCGAATAGGCTTGTTCATCTCTGAATGTTAAACAAACAAAATGTTGACAACAATAAAATATACCAACAAACAGTCCAACGTAACCTTACCTATCACAGGGTGTAAAATGTACATTGGTTAGGAATTAAATATATATTAAAAACAGTTAACAATAATAAGAGATTTACAAACATAACCCAAGGTGTAAAAGGGTATGTATAAAAATATGTTAATAATAGTGGAGAGGTTTAAAAGCAAGCAAATGCCAGACATTAGAGGGCTAAAAATATAATTAAATATACCCATAGGCTTTAAAACAGATAATTCAAAGTGTTAAAGGTTTAAAGAAAATTAACAGAGGCTTAAAGACAGAAAATTCTAGAGGTTAGAGGGTTAAGAAAAGAAATTTGACTGTAGTAATCAAACAATATAAAACGTTTATGATCTTATGTCAAACTGTTAGTAACAAAAATCAGCTGAACTTACGTTGGTCATGAAGGTCAAGTAGAGAATTAGATAAAGTTGACCGTTTTAGGTTTGAAGACTGCCTATCAGGTGAAAGCCTAATATTCTCTTGGCTATTTGTTGGGAAAATTACTATGTCAGCTACTCCAGAGTCTCTGTTTTCTACTGTTCTGCTTCTCAGAGATTTCTGTTTCTCAAGTTCTGTTTCTATCCGAAGGTTTTCCATTTCATCCATCTTCAGGAAAACCCATTTTTGTTTAACTTTGTCATGTTAATTTTTAAAGCAAGATCTTTTTTCAAACCCTGTATAATTTTATAAATTCGCTACTCTAATTCCCCTGGTTGAATAAATCACAAAAAAAAAAAATTCTTAAACTAAATGATATGCAAGCAAAGTATTAAATCTAGAACTCTAGAAAGCTGTTCCAAAAATACATCTGATGACCTGTGAATCTCTCACATTATAAAGTATAAAAATAAATAAATGCATGGAATGGGCACCATTTTTTAAGTGAAAGGTGAGACTTACCTCTAAAATTGACTCCTTCAAATCGTCCACAAACTTGCTACGGTCATGTTCATTTCTGGCATTGAATGTAACCAAAACTTTGTTGTTAAGCCTTTGTGCAAGTCGAATTCCGTGCATATAATCTGTTGAGAAAGTTACAGATAACTATTATTCTTGAATACTCCTGGTGTATTCAGATAAAAGCTTTCGAATTTAGAATTTCACATTCAGTAAAGGTCCATGATATTTGTTATCAATATTTTTAGCCATATAAACAGTTTCATCAAATTACATGAGCACTAAGAAATAAAGTCAGATACAACAACAACAAAACTAACAAGATGTAGAATAGTGTTGTAAACTACATTTTTAATGTTTGCTAGAGAAAGCTTCTAACCCTGATGATGTAATCATCGAAAACCTTTGTCTAATATCTATAGACGAGGGTGTATTATTTATAAACAAGCAAAAATACTCGTCCCCAGTGACGGAAAAGTTTAAGTTAATCAATCAATTTAAATTACTTTATGGACTTTAAAAAAGATTAATTGTGTTGCACTCTTGGTTTCGCTATGAGCTACTTATTCCCTCAGATTGCGAGTCGAGTGCCGTAACCACCTGGCCATGCCGGGCCAGGAGACAGACGAACGCTCGGGCAGACACTGCGGTTCCGCAATATATATATGATACGAGTAATCTCTTAGTCTTAGTGAAGTTAATAAGAACTGAGAGAAGTACTTAGAACAAGAGTTCAGTTCAGTATAAGAAAAGTTATTCAATGATAGTTACCGCGCATATTCAGTTACTCTCGTTTAATTACACAGGCCTGCAAATTTAAACTTCATAAAAGTTGTTTTTGTTTTAATAACGATTTTCCATAATTCGGCTATGTAAATTTCGAAAAATAATATTAAATTTTTCTATCACGTAAGGATTTTTTACAAATCGGGAAGAAAGAAAATCACTCTTACTTAGATCAAATTGGTATTTCGTTTACCACAATGAACATTTTTTACTATTATGTTTGGGTTCTAGAACCAGAGTGATCGATAAAACTCTCACGTCGCGATTGGCCTAGAGAAATCTATAGCCAGTGGTTGTCAACATTTTAAGCATAACAAAATGTGACCCGATTTCAATGAAAATTATTCACTTACGTAAAAGTACAGATGAGGTTTTGTGAAAAATCTGTACATGATGGATAAAAATGGATATCGTTTTCGGATTCAGCGTACAGAAATTACTGTAGAACATGTAAAAATTTCATGACAATAAAGCCATTGCAGACCTTATTGAAGAAGCTTATTTTTTGTAAGTTAGAAGTAGTACCATTAGCGAGGAATTTTTTGTTGAAACGTTATTTTTTAAGCTTAGGCCCAGAACTTGTGTCAAGTAAAATAGTCTGTGGTATACAGTACAGAATAGATAAATTAATTCGTTATTGTTACGTGGAACGGATCTCACATTATTTTACCAGATAATCCAGAAATAACCTGCCAAACCAACGATAGAACAACGTTATAATTTTAGTATGAGCAGTGATTAAGAGATATTTTAGGAAATAATACCAAGATGAATTCTGTTAAGAAAATGAAAATACCAACTGAATTATTATTTCTATTTGTTTACAGTGGAGTGAAACGTTAATGCAATACTGGAATTAAGACTAATAATGTAAACTAGACGAGCCCTGCAAACATCTACGGTCAAATTAGTATATGTTTTGTAATAGTACTTCTTTAAATATAGGATTTCTAGTACAATACAAAAGAATTATAATCGCAAACAAGTCCACTTATCTTAGGCCTAACATTATTTAAGCCTTTATTAAGTACGGCCTATATTAGATAAAGAGAAAAGTTAACACTTTAACTTGTGTTTTTTTTTCTTTTAGTTTAGTTAGGACTAAATTTTACCGTACTTAATACTATCGATAAATAAACTTATGATGTTATTCTAAGACCTAACGTTAGATCTGTTTAAAACTTTTTATAAGTTTTTAATATGTTGTTGTACAAAATTTCTACTAAAGTATTTTTACATCCTTTGAAAGGAAGTGCGCACACATTTTCATGACAGGCAAAAACTGGGTATTATTATAATAGATAGGCCAAGCTGTTGGACTAGGTGAAGAGTCAGTCGCTTATTGAAGAAATATAATCTAAGAATATTTTCATTTACTTTTATCTTGTAAAACAATTTGGAATTTCTGGATCAAATCAATGACATAAAACAACCAGAATGAGTTAAAATCATAAATTAAAAAATAACAGTACTATTTACCTAACATAATTTAATATTATTGTAAATATCCATAAATGCAGAAAGTATGTTAACTGCTCTGATTTTAAACTGATACTGTCAAAGAGCCAGATCTAGATTCTAATACAAGATCCACAATTGTAAACTATAATTTTCACAAACAGCGATATTTTTATGTAGCATTGTTCTCTATGGCGAGATTTATTGCAGATCAATTTATAAGTAAACTTAATATGCAAATTCAACATAAAATGAAGAAAAAATACAAAAAT